AAAAAAAAAAAAAAAGTATATATACACATATTTTTAATATTTTCATATATATGTATGTATATAAAAATATTTTTTCTCTGCCATTTTCTTCTGGCATATCTATCCTCTAAGGCAAGGCCTCCTGACTTGCCCTTTATGTACTTTGCACCAAACAGTTTTGGGTCTTCTGATCCAGCTTTCATCTCTGGATCTCTTATGCAAGTCATAGTTTACTGGTTAAGTGACAAGATCTGATTCCAAAGTTCCCATTGCCCAGGCCCTTCAGCTCTAAAAAAATACTTTGTATATTTGGAGTACAGATTAAGGATTCCCAATCATCTAAACTTTGTTGAGTATCTAGGGTTTATCAAAATGTCTCCTTCCCCAAGGTGACATATTACATAAAATAAAGCAAATTAGGCTACGCGTGGTGGCTCACGCCTGTAATCCCAGCACTTTGGGAGGCCGAGGTGAATAGATCACTTGAGGTCAGGAGTTTGAGACCAGCCTGAAACCCCGTCTCTATTAAAATACAAAAAAAAATTAGGCGTGGTGGCGCATGCCTGTAGCCCCAGTTACTTGGGAGGTTGAGGCAGGAGAATTGCTTGAACCTGGGAGGCAAAGGCTGTAGTGAGCGGAGATTGTGCCACTGCACTCCAGCCTAGGCGATGGAGCAAGACTCTGTCTCAAAAAAAAAAAAAAAAGCAAATTAAAGTTAAATGCAGCTGGGTGTGGTGGCTCATGCCTATAATCTCAGCACTCTGGGAGGCTGAGGCAGGTGGATCACTTGAGGTCAGGAGTACAAGACCAGCCTGGGTAACACGGCGAAACCCCGTCTCTGCTAAAAATACAAAAATTAGCCGGGCATGGTGGTACAGGCCTGTAGTCCCAGCTATTTGGGAGGCTGAAGCATGAGAATTGCTTGAACCTGGGAGGTAGAGGTTGCAGTGAGCTGAGACTGTGCCACTGCACGCCAGTCTGAGAGACGGAGTGAGATTCTATCTCAAAATAAATAAATAAAATAAAGTTAAGTATATTTGGAATTTTAAAATATTTAGGCTGGGCAAAGTGGCTCATCCCTATAATCCCAGCACTTCGACAGGCCAAGGTGGGTGGATTGTTGGGGCTCAGGAGTTCAAGACCAGCTTGGGCAACATGACGAAACCCCATCTCTACCAAAAGTACAAAAATTAGCTGGGCATGGTGACATGCACCTGTGGTCCTAGCTACTTGGGAAGCTGGAGGTGGGAGGATCTCTGGATCCTGGGAAGTTAAGGTTTAGTGAGCTGTGATTGCGCTACTGCACTCCAAGCCTAGGTACAGAGTGAGACTCTGTCCCAATAAATAAATAAATTAAATATTCAAAATAACTAGAGTTGATCTTAGGTACTACAAAAGCAGAGTTGGAACCATCCGTTTGAACATGATTCAAGGTTGAACTTCTATCCTGTAGTTAAAAATAAGAGCTGTTGGTTAAGAGAGGAACAAACAAAATTGTTTGACCTTTTACAATCCCAAACAAAGGAAACTTCATCCTAGGAAATCAACCACTGATACAGGACAGCTGCCTGGCCAGGTTCACACTCTGGCTGATTCTTTTACAGCAAATGAGCTAGACATATAGATCAAACTAAATAACTCAAAACAGAAACAACTCTTCAGAGTCTCTGAGTGTTAACAGATCCTTGCTTTGTCCAACTCTTGGTCCCTCTTCTCCCTCAGAAAGTGAATTAATGGTATTCTAGGCAGCAGCTTTCCTTCCTCTGTGACTGCAGTTTCTTCAGGGGTCACCCATATTTTGTATTAATATATCATTGTAGTTTTTGAAAAACTTCTCCAGCTTCTATTTCTATTAAGTAAATACTTGTTTTTCTTCCAGAGATTTCAAAGGTGAAAAAAAGCATCCTAAGTATCTGTTTTCACAAGAAAACAAAGAACAGACAAAAAAAACCCTGCAGAGTCATACCAGTTGTTCAGTGTAAAATCAAACGATAGATTTTAGAGAAAGCAAAGGATGAACAAATAGAATGCCCCTTTCTGCTCTCAGTAACTACATTCTAACACCACTTGCAATCACACTTTTAAGATTAGTTATTTTTAAATGGCATTAGGCATTATTTTATTTTTTCAAATTTTATTTATTTATTTATTTATTTTGAGATGAATCTCGCTCTGTTGCCCAGGCTGCAGTGCAATGGTGCACTCTTGGCTCACCGCAACCTCTGCCTCCCGGAATCAAGAAATTCTCCTGCCTCAGCTTCCCTAGTAGCTAGGATTACAGGTGCACACCAACACACCCGGCTAATTTTTTGTATTTTTAGTAGAGACAGGGTTTCACCACGTTGGCCAGGCTAGTCTCGATCTCCTGACCTCAGGCGATCCACTCGCCTCGGCCTCCCAAAGTGCTGGGAAAACAGGCGCGAGCCACCGCACCTGGCAATGTAAGCCATTTTAAAATAATGTGCCAGGCGCAGTGGCTCACGCCTGTAATCCCAGCACTTTGGGAGGCCGAGGCGGGTG